CTTTTATTATCTTCTGTTTTAAATTCATCAGTTTGTCGTGCAATTTTTTGAGATTTTGCTCGTCTTCTATTGTCCATCAAACGAAATTCATCGTTAGCTCTTCTTTCTCTCATTATCTTTGCTATCTCGACATTTCTTTGAGATATAGATCTTCTTTTTAGCTTCGGCATTTTTTCGTAAAACAAACTTCTCACGTAGATTAGGGGTGTGTATACACCAAGTACAGTCTCTACTTAGTGAGACACGTGTATATCTCTAAACTTCGTGAGATAAACAATGCAAAAGTTTCTTTCGAGTCAAATCTTCGTTAAAACTAGTGAAGATATACTCGATACTAGGTAAGAAACTTTAGAAAATCGAAAGATTAGTAATCTTTTTTGAACAAAAAATTTAATTAATATTTTTATTATTTATTCGAAAATAATGAAAATCTGAAAAAAGTGGAACAAATTAATGCTTGGAACATTTAAACACAAACAATTCTATTTAGAAATGGAAATAATTGCTCGACTTAATTCTCATTTGTTTTTTGTATAGATTTTCTTTTATTTTGTTCAATGTATGAATGAAAATAAATAGGTATTCATGAGAAAAGCTTCTTTTTTATTAAATATTTTATTAAATAAAAGATAAATTGTTTTTTTACAATTTTCTTCAATACAAGATCTTTTTTTTTTAAATTCTTTTGTTTCGCTGTTAAAAATCTTAAAAAATGTCATATTGATTATGTTGTTGTTATTAATCAATCGATGATCAACTGGATTTACTTTTTCTTCAAAGCTTCATGAACAAGCATAGCCCTACAATAGACTACAATTTAATATACATCAAGTCAAGAATAAATTGAGTTGTATTTACAATGTCGACTGGAAGAGTTCACCAGATATTTCTGTTCGTTTTGAATCGGTCTCTTTTTTTTTCTTCGTAAGTTTAGGTAACTTACGAATGGAATTGATATTTCTCTTGATTATATTAATATTGATAGCTTCATAACCACAAGGAGCTGTAGGAAAATTATGTATGACCAAACATCGTTCTTGAATAAATACAATTACAATGAATACATAAAATATGATCATCTACTGAATAACATCCTTCTTCATTTGTAAATTGCACTTTACAATTCTAAGAAAAGAAAAAGGATAAAAAAAAGAATTTCTTATTGTTCTCTTAGATTTTAATGTTTACTTCACATCGATAACAATCAACATGATAGCTTCGATCAAGTCCAGCAATACGTATTGTTTCTTCTTGACCATTCATTGGTAATATAGGCCGATGACATACATAACGACGTGGTGCAAAGTTTTGATGAAAACAATCAATACAATGTACTTTCATTATTGCATCTATTGTAAATGTTACACCATCAAGACTTTTATGGCAAACAATACAACAAAAACATTCGGCATGATAAGGTTTACCCGTTGCACGGAGAATCTATTAATAGAAAAAAAACAACGAAAATACAATACTGGACCAAAATATAAGAACAACATATTTTTTGGTTTTTTTTCATGATATCAAACATTTAACTCAAATCTAAATAGTGATTTAAATAGCTCATGAAATTCTTTATCTAATCCATTTCATTTATGTCCAAAAAGACTTTGTGAAAATTAGTTTTGAAGTGTATCGTTTTAAAGAGTACAAAATCCTGAGTAAAATGAGAGGTTACTACATTTCCTACGACTTTTCTTTATAAAATTATCAGCATTACAAAAACCAATGCGATTTTTAGCAATGCTATAATAAATTTTGCTTTGTGATGCTTATAACTTTTTAAGAAAATGTCGTAGGAAATACAAGCAACTCCTCATTTTACTCAGGATTTTGTACTCTTTAACATGATACTCTTTAAAACTAATTTTTATAAATTCTTCTGAGACATCAATAAAATGCATTTGATAGAGAACTTTATAAGCTACTCAAATCACTATTTGAGTTTGAGTTAAATGTTTGATATCGTAGAAAGATAAACAACAAAAACATTGCTCTTTTATTTATATCCTGTACTGTAAGTTCAACAATAGTCATAATAATTCTTAACAAAGCGGAATATATGACCGTTAAATATCAAAAGAAAATCGATGACCTCTACATATTTATTATACAATTGATAATTATAAATTGCAGTCATATTACGTCTTTATTGACAATAATTACTTTGTTCTTGTAATCGTTTCTTATAGTTTTCGACATATAATGTTTCTCTTTTTTTTTTTTTTGTTGGTTTTATATTTGTCTTTTCTTTTATACAAAATGATTAACAAGATTATTTTTTTTTATTTAACTTACTCTATCAGTAATTGGTCTTGCACAGACAACACATTTTTCTAATGAATTCCAAAAGAAAATAAATTTTTTTTTTCCACCAATAATTAAATATTAACTTACAATATAACATAATTCACAATATGGCTTATTTTCCATTGAATAAAAATGCATACCACGTAAACGACAACCACACATAGTACATGTAAAACATGATACATGATACATTCTATCTATAGCTACAAGTCCATTTACTTCTCCAACGATTTCATCATTACATCTTGCGCACATACCTTTACAATGAGAAAAAATTTTGATATTCGAATAAATTATAACAAAAAAAAAAATTTTTTTTTCAACTAACCAAAAAAATTCGGTTCATTAGATGAATTCATACTTTTCATTAATAATTTTGTTAAATGATCAACATCGGTTGTATCTCGTTTCATTATATTTCCATTACGCATAGTAAATGATGTTGAATTTGAATGTGAAGATGTTGGTGGAAGATTTACAATAGATGGTGATCGACGTTCTGAATTATCAAATACTGGAGATTTATTACTATTCACACTTGTATAAGCCATTAATGGTTTAAAACGATTAGCAACTACATTTGATGTATATCGATTATCAATAGGTGAATCATGATGCATATCAATCTGACGAATTGACTAAAAAAACAAAGAAATTTTCTTATATTTTATATTATTAATTATTTATTTTGTTTTTTGTACCGGTGATGTTCGTCCAAGCATATGAATTGATGATAAAGGAGATGGTACAGATACTTCTCTTTGATTTGTAGTTGTTGATGGTGTACCAAGTGAAATATGAAAAGCATTATCATTTCCATTAGAATAATTAATTGATTGATTTTTAATTCCTTGACGATTATTGATTAATATTGATGGTGAATCAGGTCGTGATATACGAATTTCTTTAAAAGTTGATTTTGTTGGATTAGGTGATGATGAAAAACGAATTTCAGATTGACTTGGTGAATTTCTAGGTGCAATTGTTATAACTGGTGATTGAGATGAACTAACACTGATTACAGCTTTACAAAAATAAGAAAAAAAAAGATACAATATAAAAATTAAATCTAATCATTTTATTTTGATTAAAATTACACTTACGACGATTATTATTATAATTATTACTTGTTGGTGTTGTTGATCGATATTGTGAAGTCTTTGTAATTGTTGGTGATGACGGTTCATGGTCAGATATATACGAATTTGAGAGTGAAGAACCTAAATAAACAATTGAAAAAGAAATTGATTGATCTTCTTTCATATATATATATATAAAGATAGATTTCTTTTTTTTCACATTATTAGATAAACAAAACCAACACTTGATTGCTCATTTAGAAAAAAAGAAAAAAAGTAACCTTGATCGCTTCATCGAGGTATATCTTCAATATACAATCTTTTCTATTCCTTGCGATGATTGACTACGTTAACAAGAATCGTTCTTTATGTTGTCAACTAAAAGATTGTTATATGTGTATGTGTAATAATACTCAGAACGTGCCAACATGTCTATAACCTTCGATTTATCTTCCAATGTTTGATAAGAAACCGCTATATATAGTTAGTTTTGTTTTTTTGAACTGAAGAAAAAAAAAGGAGAATGAAACAGAACGCAAACATGTAGTGCACACTCAAATGTAGCCACCACAAAGCATGCAGAAGGCAAAAAGAAAAAATAATAATAATAAAATCCTACGAGATTTATAATGATAATTGAAACTATAAAAAAAATTAATAAGAATAAAATTGTTTAAGATTTTAATTGCTTGTTGTTTTTTAAATTTTTACCTGAATGTGATCGATAGTTGTTTGAATAAATGGATTTTTTGACAGGTATAAATTGATAAGTATTATCGATAATTGGTGGTGTAGAAAAGCACTAGGTGGAGGTGGAAATTCAATTGAAAGTGATTCATCTGATGATATAAATTCATCACCATCATCATCGTCATCATCATTCTCATTGACTAAAATAAGAAAATCAACCACACATATTTTCATGCGTCATGCTTGAACAAATCATATAACAAATGAAAAATTTACTGAATAAATAACATGCACAACTATCTATTTGTTTGTGATGTTTTTTTTGCTTACCGTTTGTTTGATTAAATGAAAAACGACGTTGAAATGGATGTTGACGAGATTGTTGATAATCATTTTGTTGACGATAATTATTTGTATAATCAAATGGATCAGGAGTTATTTGTGAACGATAAAATGGTTTTGGTCCAACTATACGAGTTGCTATTGATGATGGACTTGGTGATTGACGATTTATATTCATAGGCGAATTTAAAGTACTATTTTGTCGATTGAAATATTGTGTTTGCCTTTGAACAAATGTATTAGTTTTTGATGATAATGGCGACGAAGACATCGATATTTATATATATATGTATATCCAGAAGAATAGAATGTGCGTATGTATGTATGTAACAACAACGACAATCAGAATCCGCCTACACACAAAAAAAAGATGGTCTGAAAGAAATAAGAAGAAACGACAAAGACAAGAAGAGAGAGGAAAAACAAATAAAGCTGTATCATCAGAACC